GTTCTGAACTCAGGGCTTGGCCCTGGCTAGGTAGGTACTCTACTACATGAACCATGCCCTCAGCTTTTTTTGCCCTAGTTATTTTTCAGATAAAGTCTCATTTTTTTTTTTGTAGGTAGTTAATTGGAGATAGAGTCTCCCAGGCTATCTTGCCTGAGGTAGCTTCTAATCATAATCCTTAGATCTTAGCCTCCTGGGTAATTAGGATTATATCCAAAATAATTAGGATTATGAGCCTGGCAGGTCTCATGCTTTTTGTTTGGGGAACAGCCTCTGACAGTGATCCTCTGGCTCTACCCCTGTGTGGGTGGGGCTTGTTACTTGAGTTGGGATGTCCACAAATCCTCCCAGTTTCTGCCTATGGAGTGACTGGGACTACAGGCACGCACCTCTATCCCTGGCTGGCTCCTTAATGGGGGTAGTTTTGTTCCTTCCCTTCCCTCCCTTCCCTCCCTCTCTGCCCCATACTCCTCAGGTCTCCCTCCCTCCCTCATTCTTCTCATTCTGGCTCCCATGGCTGAGCCCAGGCCCCAGCCGTCTTCTCTGCTTTTTCCCTTGGCCCAGGCTGCATTGCCTACTCCTGGTCTCATTTCCAGTCTCTCCCAGGTGTCTCATTCATTCCCAGTGAGCCTTCCTGCACGTGCCCTCCACCCAGTCCTGAGGTCCTGCAGGGAAAGCCATCACCTTTTCACCCTAGTCCACCCCCTGGGAAGCCCTAACCTCTGCTTACTCATGCCCCAGTGCCACCTGGCTCTCCCGGGGGGGGGGGGGCCTCAGCTACCATCTTGGGTTCACTCCTACCCCTGCTGTGGTTGCTACTCTCTCTGCAGAGCCCCACTCCTCCCTCCAAGTGTGCTCAGGGTTTAGAATCCTCATTTAAAGTAGGACCCTCCCCCCTCCAAAGCCAAAAGTAAGGACCCCCTGTTGCTTCCCCTTCAGCAAGGCAAATCACTCACAGTTTGGGACTGGCCTAAACTGAGCCCTCAGCTGGGAGCTGGTGCAGGTGAGCTCCCTCCAGACACATCCAGAGCAATGCTTGAACAAAATCTCTGGGCCTGCATGGCCCAGCCAGTTGGCACATAAAATTATTTGCTGGTGGCTGGAGCCTGAACCTAGCTACTCAGGAGCCTGACCTCTGAGGATCCGGGTTCCAAGCCAGCCTGGATCTCCAACTAAGCACCAAAAACCCAGAAGTGGAGCTGAGGTTCAAAGTGGTAGAGCGCTAGCCTTGAGCAAAAATAAAAAGCTCAGGGATAGCATCCAGGCCCTGAGTTCAAGACCCACAACCGACCAAAAAAGATTCATCATTCTAAATGCCCTTTTCCAACTTGGCATTCATATACATTTTCTTAACTCCTACCAAATATCCAGATAGATATCATAATTCTCAGCATAATACAACCATCCTGTGTACAAGCAAAAATGCAAAAATCCCCTCCCACAAGAAAAAGCAAAATCCTTGAGTAATGTTTTCTCATATCCTTGATATTAATATCTCCTCACCTGACTATTATGGTATAGTCAACACAAGTGAAATCTATCTATCTATCCATCTATCTATCTATCTCCATCAGAACAAACCAAGGAACAGCTGCTCACACAGCCCCAGAGCTTGTTTTGTTCCTAATGGGCTATAGCTCCTCACGGTGATATGGAACATACTTATGATCTGCTCCTTCCTCTGTCTGATTTGCGCTCCCTTTGTGCTGAGCAAGTAGCTTAATGGGTCTTTGTCTCTGTGTGTGTGTTTAATCTGCCCTGCACCCTGTGTTCTCTGTCTCTGCCTGGATTTGGTTGTTGTGGTTTCTTTCTGACTTCAGTCAGGGGCATGGTCATCCCAAGCAACATGTGTTACAGACTTGTTTTCCTTACCTGGGTCATGAGCTAGCAGCCCAATTTCTCTTTGCTTGTCTGGGTCGGTTTCCAAAGCTAGCACAGACACTCCCTTTGCCTGATGACTGGCCCCTGAGTTGCCCCTCACTTGAGATCCTGTGGGATCCTTGTGGTGTCTTCCTCTGCAGTCATTGAACTAAGACCTCTAGGCTATCAGAGCATAGAGTTGGGGGGTCAGGAGGTGGTGTACCAACGCAGTTCCTTCCACCCCTTGATTTTTGGAGCCCTTGGGTCCTGGAGAAACAGCGTCCTATACTGAGCATGATTCAGAGCTGGCCCTGCCCTTAGCATTCACATTAGCATGCCAATACAAAGTGAGGGTGTGATTGTGACTTCAAGGGCCAGCCCACTGTTGTGTCAGCCAGCTGCTTCAAGATGAGGGGAAGAGGAGCAAGAATGCCATTGGTATGGACCTTGCTGCCCTTCCTAGATGGAACCCATGTCCCGTGGGCTTCAGAGGGTGGATGAGGCTGTCTGAGTGGCCTGCTGTGGACAGTGAGTGTTATAGAAGCATGAGATGCAAAGAAGGGAAACCCACGTCCAGGGAGGTCCGCAGTGAAGGCAGCCGTGCAAGCAGCCTGCTGCCACTAGACAGGTGACTGGGATTGAACCTATGCTGGGCCAGTGCCCTTCTCTCTGTCTGTATTATCTATCAGCCGTCTGTCCTGCAATCACTTTTCTTTGGCTCTTTATCATCTATTAATCATTTAGCATTGCATATCTGAATGTATCTACCCATCAATTATGTGTTTCCCACCTGTAGCACTGTCAACGTCTTTTGGAGAACTGACTCACCATTTACAGAGGCTTTGAAATCTGATCGCTGATGGCAGCTTGCGCATCTGCAAGCTGGAGACTCGGTGAGGCTGACAATATTGTGATTCAGTTTGAGCCAAAGATCTGAGAATTGGGAATCAGATGGTGTAAGTCTCAGGACCAGAGGATGAGATGCCCCAGGGAGGCAAGAAAATGTGTAAATTCCTTTTTCCTCTACATTTAGTTTGATACAGGCTTCCAGCAGATGCCCAAGCAGGAAGCATATTGGAGCTATGGCTCTGAGGCAGGCAAACCCAGTAGGCATGGAAGAAGTAGGATCATGAGATTGATGGCCTTCTACCACAGCTCACATCTTCAGTGGCACTTAAGGACCAGCCAAGTTCTCATTGGACCTGTAGACATGAGCAGAACTCATTCATGACTCATCATGTTCAACTGTTGGGACTCCGGAGCCATTTCACATGCGCATCAATGCATCAAATGCGGCTCCAAGTAGGATCTGTGGTTAACCCTGGGAATCCCCAGTCATGGGCTTTGTGCATTGTCTAGGATAGCTCTACAATGGACTGAAGCCTGGAACCCTGTCCAGTGTCTCCCGGGGTTCTTTTCTCCGTGCATTTATCAGCTTCCCTCCTCCCCACAGTGGCAAAAGGACATGAAGCATCTGTCCTATGTAGCCCTGTGTCTGGGGGAGTCTGCTCTGAGGACAGAGGACCCAACAGGACCCAACGGACAGAGTCCTGTCAGGGAGACATGGCCCACAGCCCAGCCCCAATTTCCATAGCCAGCCTGCTCCTCCAGGGGCACCCTGCCACCGCTACTGGTGCCATGAAGGCCACAACCATCTTGTTGTGGATTTTGCTCCAGATAAAAGGAGGAAAAACTTTGCATTTAGGATGCTTTCTTCTACCACTAGAATATTCTACCCTCTCAGTTATTTCTTTAGTAACATAAGACCCAGAGGGGTCATTAACAAGGAGAAAAAGGAAATTATTATTTTAATGGTAAAAACTTTATTTACTTTTATAAATACATTGCAAGACAAAACTTTTCAAAAATACTTTCCCCCCCAAAAATTAAAAAAATAAAGGAAAGCTCGTAATAGGTAGGCATACTGTCTTGAGACCTCTTTTTGTTCTTAAGGAGAGCTCTCTGCAGTGTAGGGCAGGACAATCACCATACACCCAACACTGCCGTGGGTTTGGCCTTGGGGAGAGAAAAGCCCAGCCTGGACTGAGTGTCCTCTCCTGGTCATGGCCATGGTTACACCTTCTAGTATCTATAACACTATCTAGGATTATCTAGTATGGATCCTATTATAGTTGGGCTATGCTGTATACAATGTTAACCATTGAGAACATATCTCTCTCTCTGCATATATGTGTGAATTATAAAGTATAAGTTGGACTCCAAGTTCAACAAACACAAGTTATTCTCTATGTGTTCCCAGTGTCCCTATGAGGCTCTCTCAACAAGCTGTTCATCTTTCCTGTTTAGATAACATTAAACACCATTGTTTTGTTAGGTCAAGAAGAATAAAGATGAGGGGTGAAAATAAACTTTTGCCTTTAAATAGCTTATTATCCTCAACCCCAAACTAGGAGTTAAATTAGAAAACATTTTGTTGTTGTTGTTGTCTCCAGAGCAATTACTCCATTACTGGTGAGGCCTGTGAGGTGTGGGGTACACTCCCAGCCTCCCCCATGCCCTGCTGGACCACAGCCAAGGCCACGCTGGGCCTTCCACTGGGCTCCATCCTTGAAAAGCTGCCTGACGGAGGGAGATCAGAAAGATCTGCATTTACAAGTTTCCCAGAATGTGCTAGAACCTCTTTGGACAGTTTTATAGAACTTTCTTGGTCAGTTAAGATTCCACCTCAATCTCTCCAGTATTTTCCAAGCAGATCAAGTCACTTGCAGATAATGAAGAAGCTTTGTCGCCCAGGGGTCCAGGCCTTGGAATCAAAGATAGTACCAGGAGGACCAGGGGTCTCGTGTATGGTAGAGATGTCCAGGTGACTGGAGTTTCTGACTTTCCTGTTCTCCATGAGGCCTGAGCAGCGTGGAGGGCAGCGAGGAGGTGTCTTCTACAATAGCCACTGAAGTGAGGAAGGCAGAAGGTCAGCTGTTCCAGTGGGCAGATGTGGAGAGTATTCTAGAAGGGGATCAAGTCCACTGCTTTGGGCAGGAGTATCAGTTATTTTTACAGAAAGCAACAGAGAAATTAATTTTCTTTTCTGACTACTGAAAAGTGGAAAGATGCTCAAGTTTACCATTTAAAGGAACAATAGACATTTCAAAAATCTCTGTCTAAACTTTGGTTTTCTTAAAAAAAAAACAAACAAAAAACCAGTTCATCACAAAAAGAAATATAAGTTGAGGATGTAGCCAGGTGCTGTTCTGTCCATGGCAGTCTTTTGTGCAAAGTAAGGCGTATTGGAGATCCAATTTAACTAAAAAAAAAAAAGAGAAGAAACATTAAAGTAAGTACTCACTCCCTACAAACAAAAGGACTTGATGTCCCAGGAGAGTGGGGTACAGTTTTTCCAACCTGCAAGGAAAAACCAAAGAACTATGAATAATTTTTGTGCCAGTATGGGGGCTTGAACTCAGGGCCTGGGTGCTGTCCCTTAGCTTTTTTACTTAAGACTCTCTACCACTTGAGCCACAGCTCCACTTAATAGTTTTGTGTGGTTAATTGGATGTAAAAATCTCACAGACTTTCCTGCTAGGCTGGTTTCAAACCTTGATCTTCAGATTACAGGTATAAGCCACCAGTATCCAGCTATTAAAACTTCCTTACTTATTAATTTTATCTTGAGAAGATGAAAGAAAGTTATGCTTTCTTCTCCAATAACTCTCTCATTTCTTAAAAGAAAAATGGAATATTGAAGATGACAGCATTTTAAAAAATGATGGTTTAGAATTTGTTTTGCATTTTGTTTTTCACAAACTTTCTTAAACTAATATTAACTACAAATGAGCCCACTATTCATAGCATAGGCTGCATCTTTTATTTGAGAAATCTGGTCTGCAGCAGTTCTTGAGGATGACCAGTCTCCCCAGGGCACTGAGATGAATATTAGGACTTTCTGTGGGTCCAGCTTTATTTTGAAGAACTCGCACAGGGCATAGGTATAAAAAGGTCTGTGGCTCAAGTCCTTCAGAATCCAGTGTCACTTCCTGGACACTCCATGGTACAAGACTCTTTCTCTGAGCTGGTTTGGTTGGATTGGGTAGGGGTGGGATGCTGTCTGAAGGATGAATCTCTTTCACCTCTCACCTTCCTCTTTGGGTCTGGCTGTATCTCCTGGGTTGGTGACCCTGGGGAGGAGCCAGTGGCCATGCTCAGCCCTGAGTGACCCTCTGTCACCCCGCCCCCCCGGAGGAGGGCAGCCAGGCCAGAGTGCTTTTCCTCACCTCCAGCTTACCTGATGCAGTGGGGTTTACTGGCTCTGCATGCCGAGGCAGTGCACATCATCCGTGCCCTTGCTGTCGAAGCCTGGGAGAGGCTGCCCATACTTGTCCACGCACCAGCAGAAGCCCCGCTTTCTGCCTTTGGAGGGGCGGCACTGAGGGACAGAGAAAGAGCACTGATTTGGACACACCTTGGACCAGGGGCTGGTGGTCAAGGCTAGGCTGAATTTCTCCTTTTGAGTCACAGCAAGAGGAAGAAAACACCTGAGCAGTACATACCTGCTTCTTCTTATAAAATCCTTTTTTGTCGCAGTTGGGGATGTGCACACCCCTGGGACTCAGTACATTGAGGAACTTCAGGTGATTCAGGGTGTCTTCCATCTCTCTACGGCAGGGACCCTGTACATCAGCAGGCAGCAGAACCAGGAGACACGGTTATTGCTTAACAAAGATAAATCTTACAATGCTCTGGGATCATATTTTTCCCATACCTTCTGCCTGAGCTACCAAGAAAGCCACAGGAGGGTACCCGTCACTGCTATCAATACTGCGATTTGAACTCAGGGCCTAGACACTGTCCCTTAGCTTTTTTGCTCAAAGTTAGCACTCTTACCACTTGAGCCACACCTCTACTCACAGCTTTTGGCTCCTTAGTTGGAAATAAGAGTCTCACAAACTTTTCTGCTCAGGCTGGCTTTGAACCTCAACCCTCAGATCTCAGTCTCTTGAAGAGTTAGGATTACAAATGTGAGCCACTGACACCCAGCTTTAAAAGGAAGAGGAAGAGTTCTCACATATTCTGTCTCCCGTTTGGACTCCGAGGAGAAGTTCTGGGTGTCCGTGCTCTGGGACTCATAGTCGACTTTGTAGCGTTGGCTGTCCTTCGCATGACCTTTCTTGATGGTGTCCAGCTTTGCGTGGATGGAATGGAACTTGGAGTCAGGCACCCGATGTGTGTTGGGTGGGGCATGGCTCTCCACGCTCCCGGTGCCTCGGTCTTCCTCCGACTCACTAACATTTCCTAGAAAAGCACAGGAGATGTATGGGTGACTACTACTGACCTTGAACTTGTGGCAATGCTATTAGCAATTCCAACTAAGTGAAAAAAAAAACCTTTATCATTATTCTCTAGTACTACTTGTTGTTCCACTGTTGCTTTACCTGTGTCTCATTAGTCAGCAGTCTGAGGAAGACAGTTGGTTTAAAAGCCAACTTGTAGCCAGACACCAGTGGCTTGTACCTGTGTAATCCTAGCTACTTTAGGAGGCTGATCATGGTTTGAAGTCAGCCTGGGCAAAAAGTCACTGAGATGCCAATGAATCACTGGAAGTAGAACCGTGGCTCAAGTAGTACAGTACCAGCCTTGAAGGGAAAAGCGAAGGGACAGAGTCCAGGCCCTGAGTTCAAGGCCCGGTACAGGCACACACACACACAATTAGAGGAAGCAAATGTTTATCAAATGCCCCTTAAAGCAGAGGCAAAGGCAGCAGTGCCACCTGTAACCAGCAGGTGGCAGAAGTGTGCCACAGAAGGCTGTTACAGCAGGCTGTTGAAGAATTGGCTAGAAATTTGCCAGGTCACACCAATTGCATCCGGTCCCCCTTGGGGGTGGGAGGGGGGACAGTGGCCACCCTAGGGATTTGGAAAAAATTACATTTCTCACCCAAAAAGTACTGGGGTGGTGGAAGGTGCCAGCACAAATCAGGTCTCTTAACAGTCTAATCTTGGAGTTGGGCCAGCACTGTCCTCTATACCACGTGGCCAGCACTTTGCGGGCTGGTGCCCTCTGTTTTAGTATCAATTGATCTGTCTCCTGGAGGGGTTCACAACTCAACTGTCCAGGTGGTCTCAAGGCCAGCATGTCTGCTTGTGTCCAGTGCCCAAGCTCCCTGTACTGTCCAGCTTCAGCCTGCAGGAAGGACTGTACTATCTCCCCTCAGAGAGGTTGCCCATGCCTCCTTCATCTGACTGGGTGTGAAATGCTGGGCTCCAGGTGAACTCTCTCTTGCCTTCACAGCCACTCCTGGCGTGGCATCCTGCCCACCGAATGGGAAAGTCGCCAAAGCTTCTGGCTCTTGACTGAGAGCCAGCAAATGCCTGACTCCCAGAAAGCTCCTAGAGGCTGCAAATTGCTCTCACCTGGACGCACCTCACCACTGGAAATTGGGAGGGGGTGGGGCGGTGGGGAAGGGGAAGCTCTCCTTCTCAAGGGCTCAGCCCCCCTCACCCGCAAAGTTCCCAAAGGCGTTTTGTGCTTCAGGGGAGCCAAATTCCCATCCAATGAACCAGCTTGGTTTCAGTTAGCTTTATTCTTGGTTCCGCCCCTCCCCCTTTCAAGGTAGCACTGGAGGGGCCAGCAGACCCGAAGCTGAGAATATGTAAATAAGCGTATTTGCATTTCTTTTTCAAGAATCCCGAGTCATTTCTTCACTCCCCCCTTCCCCTAAGTTTTCCTTTTCTTCCTCATAGTGCTGGCTAGTGGGACACAGAGGGAGTTTTATTTCAGCAACCGAGGATTGGTACTAGAATTACATCTCAACCCCATGGATTTGATCATTTGTAAGTTCCCAGGCCATATTTACACTGGAGAGCCTTGCAGTGACTGACAGGATTATTAAAACCTTACTAAAAATGGCAACCTTCTAAGTAAGTGCTTCTAAGACCACTTTTTGAAGATCTCCCCGGTGCAACTGGAAGCCACAGCGCGCCACACGACTTCACTCCCAGAGAAAAGCCAGAGAACAATCGGAGCCTTGCCTTTCCCCGAACGCGGGGCTTCTCGAGTAAAGCCAGCACTGCCGAGCACAGCTAGCTTGACCCACGAGTGCAACTCAGTCGCGTAAACTGTGACGGGGCCGCACCGTCATGGCTGGCGTGGACGGGGCACCGCCATCTGCCCAGCTCGCTGGGGACGCGCACTCGTGGGAGAAGCCTCCAGCTTTCACCTGCGCAGGCCAGAACTCTCCTCACAGAACTGAGCCAAACTGACTTGAGAATGCTTGAAACTTGCACAGTCAGTAGCCAAGTCTCTTAAAAAAATTTTTTTTAAAAAAAGGAACAGCGAGCTATTGCCGTGACTGGCAGTACCCGAGCCAGGAGAGAGAGAGGGAACTTTGCCAAACGTTTGCATTTTCCCTTTTTTTCTTGGGGGGCGGGGGGGGGGACTACTGTACCTCATCCCTTCCACGGTGGAGTTAAGAGGGAGACTCCTGGGCAGGTTCCAGCTCTTCTGGTTCACTAAAACCCACTGTCTACAGTGGCAGTGGCCGACGAACCCCTGGGCGTTTCGGCGTCCCATGGGGCGCGGGGTGTGCGGGGCCGGGGCGGGGGCTGGGGTGCGCAGCCCCTGGAGATCTTGAGAAGTACTTTTTAAACCTCAGGTTTTTCCAGCCGCAAAACGATCGAATGCCCAAATCCCACCTCATTCGCGTCTGGGCTCACAGGACGTGGCCTTGCTTTGCAAACTATGCAAAATGCGAGGATTTTCCCCCTCCGCAAGAAAAACAGCGCATCTTCCGATGAGGACCCACCTCTCCGGGTGCGAACGGCACCCCCATCCCGGGTCCCACCCCGACCCTGCCTTGGGGACCGACGCGCGGCCCTCCAAACGCGCTGGGGAGAATGGAACCCTGGTTCCAGAGCTGGGCGCCCCAGCGCTGGGCGAGGACGATGCCCCGCCACAGAACCCTTTGCCTGTCCACCGGCTGTCGCCCTCCAGGCCGGGTCCGTTGGCCTTCTCGGGCGCCGCCCCGCCCCCGTGCCCGGCCGTCGCGCGCGGCTCACCTGGGGCGGAGGGCAGCAGGTAGGCGTGCAGGCGGCCGGCGGCGCTGGCGTTGACGCAGAACCCGCGGCCGTCCAGCAGCGCCTGCAGCGGGCGCGGCTCGCCCGGTGGCGCCTGGCAGCTGAGCCCCGAGCTGCAGCGTTCGGTGTAGACACCGCACGGCTGGCCCTCGCGCAGCGCGCATGTCAGGCAGCAACCGCACCCCGGCTCGCGCACCAGCTCGGCGCACGCGGGCGCGGCGGGGGGAGGCGCGCACTGGGCCAGCGCGTTCGCGTCGCAGGGCTCGCAGCGCACGACGGGGCCCGCGCCCACCGCGCCCGCGCCGGCGCGCGCCACCGGCGGCCCGCGGAGCAGGGCTAGGGCGGTAAGCAGAGCTGCCCAGAGCGCGGGGCGCGCCCGATGCATGGCGCCCGACGCAGGAGCCACCTGGAGTAAGCGGTTACCGGGTCGCAGCACGCGGTGCGAGATTGCGGGATCGGGAGCGCAACTACCGGTGCTCGGCGCGCAGCTGCCCAGCTCGCATCTGGGAAGCCACCGGCGCGCCGACCGCTATATAGAAGCCGGGATGGTCGAGGACACGCCCCGGAACGGCGCGCGGGAGGGGGGGGAGGCGCAGGCACGGCCACGGGGGCCGGCGCCTCGCCAGGGAAGCGGGCGCCGGACGCGGGGGCGCGCGCCACGCGGCTCGCCGGGGCACCTGCTCTCCCGGTGCCCGTCCGGCTCCTGGGGCCACTCCCCTCCGCACCGTCGCCCCCAGGTTACTTTGACACCCCGGTGTCTCATCTAGATGGCTCTGGTTTTCCTGCTCACTTCTAGCCAGCTCGGCGCCCCTGGTCTCTCGGACGCGGCCGCCCTTCCCCCGCCCAGGCGGGCCGGCGCGTCCGAGTGAACCGTCGGGCGCCAGGCTTGCATTCGTATGTAATTTGCAAAGCTTTCTGGATTGCAGCCCCCCGGAGGGCACGTAGTGGGGACGTTTCTGAATGAGAATTCCTGGTTTACCTTGGAGTCTCGGGGGCTGTGGCGCTGCGGGTGGCACCCGCACCCGCGGAACCCGGGCCGGAGCGGGGCGCGCGAGGCGGCGTTCGCCTTTCCCCTGCTTGCTTCACCGAGCACGTGCGGGGTTTCATCGCCTGATCCGGGTTAGCAGGGAACTCGTCCCTAGGACACTTTTGGAAGATTTGAAGGTATTCGAATCACGTTTTCAGATAGAGTTTATGTCAGCCACAAAAGAATCAGAAGGACCAAAGTGAGCCTTTTTGCGGAAGCATGGGTAAGAACCAAATCCTCCTGACAGCCGGCCATCTTCACAGTTACTTTTTTGGAAGGCCTTGTTGGAGCCCTGTACTGAATTCTCAGCGGGGCGTTCAAGTGGAGATGGATGGCCGATCTGTGCAACTCTGAACACTTTGCGGCACGGTTTAAACCCTGGGCGCAATCGCGCCCTTGAGATCCTCAGGACCCCGTGGTCCTTCCCTCGGTGACCACCAGAGGACGCGAATGGACTAGGTTTGGATTGGGATATGTCGTGGCTCTTGTGCAACGTGGATATCGCGACCGAGAGCGAAGACTTCCTCTGTCGGTATTCACCTTACATAGAAGGTGGAGAGTTATCTTGGAGACCTATGCAGTTTGCCTCGGAATAGTAATGTAGCACCGCCTGCCCCGCCCCTCCACAACACAGCTCCCAGTGAAGTTATCATTCATATAGTTCTCTGGATTTTGTCTGTCTCTTCTCCCTCCAACTATTTATCACCCTTTATTAATATATATCCTCCTTTTAGAACTGGAACACCGATTTAATTCTCCCTTTTTAAAACTTGTAACAAACAATAATAATGTTAACACTTGGGCCCTTACAAAGGCTTAACAAGAGAGAGTTGGCAAGGCCCGAAGCATTATCATACAGAATACAGACGTGCCCAGAACTCAGACGTGAATGCCAGGTTGGCCAATTTCTCTGCACCTGTGCAAAACCCAAATTGTCCTTTGACATCAGACTCAGAGATTTCAATGTACTGAGCACAGAGTCCCTAAAGGTTTCACAACTTCTATTTCTTGCCTTTTACCCTTCAGTTAAAGATGGCCTAATGTGGGTTGATTTGGTCGGAAGTGGAGAGAGAGAAAAAGAGGGGGGGGGGAGGGAGAGTGGGGCAGTGGGAGAGCAAGCTGGAGAGAGAGCAGAAGACTCAAAGTGTGGAGGCCTTGTCCTTCCTGGCCTAGTGAAGCACAGTGCCTTTTTTTTTTCTTATTAGGGTATTCCCCCCCTCCCACAGAGCTCAGGCTGCAGGCAGACTGAACCCTGTTTACTGTAAACTATGCCAGATTTCTCTGGTATATTCAGTCTAAGAATAGGGTCTCTGATTTCATTGGAAAATTAAAGGAAACAAAATAAATCCCTCAGGGTTACATTTGTTCCCTAAATAACCACAGAGACCTTGACTCTGAAATTAGAGCTGTATTCTGTATCAAAAAATGATTCTTGAAGTCCCAGACCTGCCCTTGTATTTAGTACAATGTTATACATGGAGCCTTTCTGATCACAATGCAGCGTTATCATCTGGCCAGTAGACGGGGACACCCTGAAGGAATGCTTTTTTGGAAAGGATAAAAATAAGTCTTTGCTCTTGGTTCTCTTCCTAATGAACAAAAGAGCCCTGCCTGCCTCTCATGGCTTGCAGATTGAGAAATAGGAGGTTGTTCTAAGCCCAACTCCTAGGGGGCGCGTACGCACCAGGCGGCTACCCTGGTTTAGGGACAAGCCTCAGACTGCAAAAAGTGATGACACTGTAACTTTCAAAGGATATATATCCCTATTACTGTCCTTTCTGTTGGGTAAATCTGTGGTACTGACGTGAGAATTATGTTGCAATATTTTATTTTTTACTTGACTTCAAGGAACATTCCCTCTCCCTGGTAATTGTGTCAGGAGGAATTGGAGATGGGATAAATCTTAATTTTGTGACATTCTAGTTAATTCTTTCAGGCTTTTATTGGTCTGCGGTTTGTGGTTCTGGACATAAACTGTTCGGTGGGAAAGTGGAAAGGTATTTTTCCTATCTTCAATGGTACTGTTGTGAAATTGTATACAGCCATCAGGATGACAGGAAATGTGAACATCTCTCTGCTTCACAAAACCCTGTTGACTTAATTATATTTAATGATTCCTGGGGCCCCCATACTTGCCTTGCCTGGCAGACACCCCCCCCTCATTACTTCCAGCCTGCCCCTTCTTCCCTCCTTTTCCCTCCCTCCCCTCTGGCCCTGGTCTCAGTCCTTAGGCCTCTGATAGCAAGCGCTACCTCCAGATATTGCCAGGGGCATCGATCATCACGAGACTCAGAGCAGAAAGGCCCCACTCCTACAGACAAGTGATATTGGAGGTCAAGTTCCAGGACTGCTCATCAGTCTAAAGGCTGGGGATCTTTCTCCAGAGTAACTTTCCCTCCCTCAGAGGTGGCTGGGCTGGGAAAGCCTCCCAGAGTTGCCTATTCAGGGCTGGGAGATGCTGTGCTGCTAATAACCTTGCAAATGACTTCACCCTCACATTGTCACTGAGCCCCTCTGGGAGCCAGCCATGGGGGCCTTCAGGCTGGCCAGAGAGTCACCAGAGACCACACTATGGGGGGCAGAGTGCCAGGGGGCTGAGGAGCTTCCCTGTGGGCATCCCCAGAATGAGGCCACCCTGCTGTTGGGGTTGATGAAAAGCAGGGGGGTATGGTGTTGAGGTTCACAGGACATGGAAGAAGCCAGCTGAGGGGGCTGGGCAGGAGGGAGAGCGTGTGCCTGGACAACCCAGGAGCATGGTTCTGTGTGCCAGGAAGAGGAGTTGGTCCAGAAGACGCAGGGGTGGCACTGGCATGGTTGCTTTCGGACAGGTGGTGTTCTGAGGTGTGGTGAGGGTACTGGGTCAAGTGGATGGGGAAAGGTGGCACCTGTGGCATTGACCGTTCCATGCCTGGGACTCTGGGCTCCTTGGGGGGTTAGTGTCTGGTTTGTTGACGATTGTTAGTGACTAATGGACTTCCAGAAAAAGGGCCTGGGTGTGTTCTGAAGAGAAGAGAAGCCTTCCTGGGATGGGCTTCCTTGGAGGGAGCTCCTGCTCAGCTCAACACCATTTCAACACCCAGTTTCTCACCTCTTCTCCCCTGCTGTTCACCTGCAGCCACACCTGTGCCCCTGCTGGCCAGCTATTTACACAGGAAGAGCAGCTCCTCTGTCTCCAGGCAGTTCCCGCCTCTGGGTCACATCCAGCCATTAGTCCAGATCAAAACTGCAGGAACAATGAGAGAGGCTGGAGACTTGGGTCCAAGTAGACCTATGTTTTTCTCACCTGTTTGCTCAATTCTCAACTTTCTGACACAAAACAGGTCCTGCCCCTTGATTCTAGGATCAAGTGGTGGCCTCCCCTAGGACTCACAATGTCTCTGACACTGTTGCCTGGTGTGTGTCACAGTTCATTTGTATGTTCACTTAGTCACCTGAACAAATCTTAAGGGAGATGTTTTGTTCTCCAGTGGATCGAGCACAGAACCACATACCTTCCCCATGCCTTGTTTCCCTAGTCCAGGGTCGTGTATTTAAGTTGGTGCCCCTGTGGGTGGCAGCCTGTGGAGTTTTCATATTCATTTTGCCTATAGTATGGCCTTTCCTGGGCCAAAGGGTGTTGGGAAGAAGTTAGCAAGATTTGAGGGGTCACTGCTCACCCAGCTGCTGTATCTCTGGCACCACTTCCAACCTTGTTTCTCACTCCCAGGCTATTGTAAATGGGACTATTGCCCAGATTTCTCCCTCAACCCCTTTGTTACTGGTGTATGGAAAAGCTTCTGACAATTGCATATCTGGTAGCCAATGAGATGTTAGCTGAGTCTCTGGGGATATAGGCTTCATCCTTCTCAGGAAGGAGCTGCAGTGAACACTGATGGTAACGATGGTGATGGTGATGGTGGTGGTGGTGGTGGTGATGGTGGTAGTGGTGGTGCTGATGGTGGTGGTGATGATGGTGATGATTGTGGTAGTTGTAAGGTCTGCTCCTGGATGGCAAGCAGACTCCCCCTCCTCACAGCAAAGTCTCCGCCTAATACCTGCATTACCTAGGCAACTGGCACACCTGGAAGAGGTCAAATCAGGATTCGATGTGGCCACACCTTTCCCCACCCCTACCCTAGATAAGGCCTAGCTCAGGCCAGACGCTCTTTTTCCCAGGTCTTTTCCCAGCCTCGTGGAGTGCCAATGTGGCCTGGTGCCAGCAGGAACGATGAATAAACCTACTCCTTACCTGAATACCACGTGCATAGTGTGGTTCTTACACAGCAACCTCTTCTTTAAAACCTAACAGTAGTGATGTGATAGTGGTAGTGGTGGTAATGGTTGTAATGGTGGCTTAGCCTTACCCTAAGTGCCTGCTTCTAGCAACCCAGGGTGTCTTTAAGCCTTTGTCCCTCTAACCAGCCATGTTCATTTTCAGCTCTATACCGTTATCCCTGTCGCAGCCCCTTTTTCTCTGCTCACGGTGTCTCTGGTCCCAG